ACAGGGTTTCACCAGGTTGGCCAGGCTGGTCTCAAACTCCTGACCTCAAGTGATCCACCCACCTCAGCCTCCCAAAGTCCTGGGATTACAGGCGTGAGTCACCACACCTGGCCGAAACCTGTCACTCGCAGACATCCGAGAAATCCTAAACCCCATGTGAATAGTGTGATTGGCTGTAATGTATATGGCTTACATAAAATGTCCTTATTAATGCTTATAATTACATAAAATTTATTCTTTCATTTTTATAGTCTGTTCGGCATTTGAAGTACTCCTTGTTTAAGAAATTGCTACTGGGCAGTGTTTCAGATAATGGAATAGTAACTCTCTGGGATGTAAATAGTCAGAGCCCATACCATAACTTTGACAGTGCACACAAAGCTCCAGCTTCAGGCATCTGTTTTTCTCCTGTCAATGAATTGCTCTTTGTAACCATAGGCTTGGATAAAAGAATCATCCTCTATGACACTTCAAGTAAGAAGTAAGTATGACATGCTTGTTTTTTAATTTAGTAACAACTATTATTCCATTAACAGGCATATTTGTGATTTATATAGACCACTGATTAATGTCCAGGGGTTCTAAGGTTTGTACAATTGATGAATCTAGTAAGATAGAATTTTCTTCTCACGCAGAAAAAAAATAGATGGGGTGTAGGTAGTATTTAGAGTTCTGAAACATGAACAATGGTGCAGTCCCGGCTCACCGCAACCTCCGCCTCCCGGGTTCAAGTGATTCTCCTACCTTGGCCTCCCAAGGAGCTGGGATTACAGGCGCCCACCACCACACCTTGCTAATTTTTTGTATTTTTAGTAGAGATGGGGTTTCGCCATGTTGGCCAGGCTGATTTCGAACTCCTGACCTCAGGCGATGCACCTGCCTTGGTCTCCAAAGTACTGGGATTATGGGCATGAGCAACCGCGCCGTCCTTGATTTCACATTTCAATTTTAGCATCTTTTTCAAAATATGAAATGTATATGTTTTTAACACAGATGATTAATTTGCGTTAAAATTGATTCACTATCTAGAGGAAGGTTTAGAAATGATTGCCATTTTGGGCTTTGTAATTCTTTGTTGTGAGGGACTGTCCTGGATATTGTAGGATACTCAGCATCCCTAGCCTCTTCTCACTAAACACCAATAGCCTAAATGGTGTCCAGACATTGCCAGATGTCTTCTGGTTGCTCCCACTTGAGAAATACTGGTAGGTGTGCATAATCTTCTAAGCATTTGGGCGCATTGTACCCTTCTCATGTTAAAGGTATGCTCAGTTAGCTAAAACAAAACAAAACAAAAGAACGGCAAGAGTGCGACAGTTGTATTCAAGATGCTTAGCACTGAAGATCATGTGGAGTATGAATGTTACTACAAAGGAAGGGCTTACTGTCAGCCTTTGTTATGATGCTAGAATTTTTTCTGTTACTTATTTGCTGTCTTCTTTTATGGAACAATTTACTGAGAGCCTGGTAAGCCATTCTTCTTTTATACTAGACAGACCAGTAAAGAGCTCAGCTTGAGTAGATCAGCATCCATATTTCTTTATTAGCTGCCTAAGGATCAAGCTTGTGAACTATGTTCCTCTTAGCTTTTTGGTCAAGACTGCACAACTAAGAACAGAATAACAGCTGCTCCCCTGTGAAAGGTCATAATCCTCCTGAGGCCTAAGTGGGTCAATAAATGGAAAGGAAATACTTAGGGCCTCCTTAGCCCTGAGGCTAGAGCCTCTGTCTGTGGTATAACAGACGGTAGTTCTGCTACATTCACTGCCAGAGTAATAAAGAAATAGGTTCTGTTTCTATAAGATGTGGAATGTACCTATTGAAAGTGAATAGAAAAGATGGAATTTTTGGCAGTTCTCGACATGCCATTTTATTAGAAATGTCTCTAAGTCAAATTCTAAAATTATGCTTTAAACAAATATTTGGGATATATGTGCTCTTTGCTAGTTTGAAGTATTAATAACTCTGGTTTTGGTTTATAGTTACTTATGTAAGCTTATATACCTGTACACACTAACATATCTACACATACTTTGTTCTCCTTTCCAAAGGCTGGTGAAAACTTTAGTGGCTGACACTCCCCTAACCGCGGTGGATTTCATGCCTGATGGAGCCACTTTGGCTATTGGATCTTCCCGGGGGAAAATATATCAATATGATTTAAGAATGTTGAAATCACCAGTTAAAACCATCAGTGCTCACAAGACATCTGTGCAATGTATAGCATTTCAGTACTCCACTACTCTTACTAAGGTAAGACATTTTCTTTTCAGCATTTTTGATTTTATTAAATAAATCTAACTCAGAATATGGAAATTATGTTATCAATTAAATACAGTATAGTTTATTTCATAATTACATAAAAATGATTTTACATGTAATATATAATAATTTTAGTACAAAGCCATTTAATAATTAGTTTTAAAACTTTGTACTTAATTCTCATATCTCTCTTTCTCTAAAAGTCTTTTAAAAGATGTTTTGGTTTAGAGAGAAACTGAGATCCACCAGCAAGCTCAAGATTTGCAAGGAAAGAATATATTTTTTAATCTAACAGAGAATTTATAAAATATTAATGTATAGTATGAAACATTAGTAACCTGAGCTTTTAAATATTCCATTACATTTCAGTCAAGTTTAAATAAAGGCTGTTCAAATAAGCCCACAGCAGTGAACAAACGAAGTGTTAATGTGAATGCTGCTAGTGGAGGAGTTCAGAATTCCGGAATTGTCAGAGAAGCACCCGCCATATCTGTTGCCACGGTTCTACCACAACCTGTGACATCAGTTGTGGGGAAAGGAACGGTTGCTATTCAAGAAAAAGCAGGTAAATGTTGCTTATATATTTTTGGAAGGTTTTTTTTTTTTTGGTCTACATATGATTAGCACATTCTTCAAGAACCTAGAATTCAAATTTAGTTGAGTATTTAGCTAAAATTAGTAGAAGTGAAAATCACTGAAGATGTGAAATAGTTAACTTTAGCTATTAATTTCAAAAATGTTAAAAGGCCCTACTGTTTAGCTAAACTTCTGTTGTGAGAAATATTATCTTAAAAATAGAAGGAGGCTAACTGAGAAATTATTATTCCCCAATACTACTGCAGACTGAATGGCTTTTCCATTGTGTCTTCAGATTAACCAGTAGAGAATATGTAACTTTGACGCTGTCAGTGATTTGATCTCCTTGTTAAAAAAAAAAAAAAGAAGAGCTATTATAATGGCTCTTTTTATTTCACATTTTAGAATGAAAAGTAAGTCAAGTGCTGAAATGAGTATTTTAAAGTGCTAAATAGTGCCTGGCACATATTAAGCAGTATGTTAATAATTTGTTAAAAATAAATGAGAATGTTGCAATTTTTAATGATTTCTTCTCTGATGTTATTGATGAAACAGTTCTGAAACAGGATTCATTTAGACTTTATTGAGGTGTTATAAGCTTTCCCATACTTATTGTAGAAAGTATTCCTTGTTCACAATAAAGAAAATATTCTATAAATTCCTGAAAACTTTTTATTTTAAGAAGTTATGCTCTACTGTCAACTTGCAACAAATACTTTAAAAATCTACATGGTATACTAGTATGTTTCCAAAATATTGTGCTCATTAGAAATACATCTATCTATGTTTTTAAAATTTTTCAGGATAAATACTTGGGCAAAAATATTGGTGTTTTTTTAGTATGATTTTATTTCCAAGTAGAAGCAAAACTTTAATTTGTTGATCTTGATAGTGTGGAATAGTATTTTAAAGTAAGTATATTCACTATAAATTTCCTTTGAATATTTATGTCATCCTTATGTAATGGTCATTATATATTAGAAAAATAATTAGATTCTTATTTAGGAACTCCTGGAGACAAAGACGATTGATATCTACTTAAAGAAGAAATTATTGTTGAAATATAACTTTGAGTAACATCTGCCAACATGTTAACTATATTATGAAAATTACCTTTATCTTACATAATGTCTTCTTCATAATTTTCAAAAATTAATCAAAATAAAGATTCTCTCATTCACTGTAAACTCTCTGAAGTCTCACCATTAATTCATTTAGTTTTATAATAAGGAGGCTCTTGTTTAACAAAAACAGCATTAATTTGGAAATCAAAGACTTGGGTCTTACAGAGTCACAGATTAATGATAACTTTTGATAGATTCCCAACATTTCTAGCAAAGTGTATGAGTGCCTTACCCCCACAAAGTTAACCATGCTTGTGTATTAATTGTATTTTGAAATGACTGTCATCTTACAGAAAAGTTTTAAGGATAGTACAGACAACTCTGAGCATTAACCTTTAGATGTACTTTATAAATTTTGCCACATTTGCTTCATCGTTCTCTCTCTCTCTCTCCCTCTCTCTCTCTCTCTCTCTCTCTC